CCCCAGCTATGGCAGACTCAGACTGGGCCGGCTATGGTTGCTGTCAACGGCGAGGTCTCAAGATGCCGCCTGCAGACCGTCACCGCCACCAACTTTATTGGCTTCTCCAACGCTGCTTCGTGAAAAATGAAATGCCTAACCTATGGGCCTAACCTATCTATAGACTAGACCAGACCTAGACCGGACTGATTGACCGACTGGTAGGACCATCTAGCAGCATAGGCCACTTAGGACCTGTCTGTCCTAGGGGTAGCCCAGGCCTGCTATTCGCAGCTACGGTAGTAGTAGGAAATTCAGTTAGTGTTAGGGCTGTATTTTCCTAAATTGCAGATATGTCCCTCACGAATTTCCTCACAGGTAGGTCTCTCGGTTAGCCCTCAGCCAAACAAAATTACGAATCTAACCCTACCGGACCTCGCAGTCAGTCTCGGCAGTCGAAATCAGCAAGTCATTGCAGGCTTACCCTCCCCGGGAGCGAGGACCTCCGAGAGCTAGGGATGTAGGCGAGGTGAACGGCGAGGAAGGTTGCCCTTCTGAGCCGCTTCATATCGCAATACAATAGACTTTGTTGTCGGGAGAAGTTCCCTTCTGTAGAACCATCGGCTCTCGGAAGGAGGCTGGAACGCGAACCTCACAAGATACCGCCGATCAGGGCTTGTGCCCCATTCATCCTCAATCCGATCAATGTCATATCCCTTGCCAGGGATTGGTGGACCAAACTGAGGGGGCCGGTCTGGGAATGCATCAGCTGGAGTGAACGGCAACAGCTTGGATGCATGAAAGACCGCGTAGGTGCGTAGATGTAGTTGGACGTCGATAACATACGACGGACCAAAGGGATCAGCGCCCAATGTATCTAGGACCTGCCATGGACCCAAGTAACGTGGCAACAGCTTGGGGGAGATATCCTCCTCCCTCGACAGCTCAGAACTGGCCACCCAGACATGATCACCAGTGCGGATGGGGGAAGGCCGCCTGTGGCGATTAGCTTGTTCAATCATAGCCTTTTGGGCTTTGAATAAGTTCGCGCGGGCTCTTTCCACATCCAGACGATAACGTCTGGTGAACTCTGTCGTGCCTGGTGTCAAATGAGACTTAGCCTTATCGATGATGTCCTCGAGAGGTTGTCGTGGTTCACGTCCCCATTGTAACCGATAGGGACTGAACCCTGCCGAGGACAGACATGTTGTACATGAGCTGTGCCCTCGCCAAGTGAAGATCCCAGTCCTGTTGATCTGGAGAGATGACAGGACGCAGCAACTGGAATAAGACTTGGTTCATCACTTCAGCCAAACCATTGGCTTCAGGATGGTGACCACACGTCATGTCCAGTCGTGAGTGCAAATAGTCCTTACAGTAGGACTGCCACTCATCGCTGCAAAATTTGGGGTCTCGATCACTGACTATAGAAGTGGGCGGTCCATGGTGTGTGACCCACCTCTAAGAAAACCTGTCCACGCAAACCATAACCTGACGCATGCCACGGGGGGTGGTCTTGCCTAAATCTGTGAAGTCTATCGACACAGATTCAGCAGGGCCGTCAGGTATGGGTAAGCGTTTGAGCAGTCCCAAAGGAGGTCTACGCTAGAACTTATTCCTTTGGCAGAGCTCACAGGTGTCCACATAACGCAGCATATCACTCCGCATCTCCTTCCAGAAGAAGCGCTACGACAGGGTTGCATAAGACTTTAAGAACCCAAAATGTCCACGGGCATCATGACACTCTGACATCAGTAGTGTCCTGAGCCGCTGGTCCTGGGGAATTCACAAGCGTTCCTCCCCTCTGCTTTAAGTATACAGCAGGTCTGAACTCAGAGCATAGCCTGCTTCAGAGTTAGGATCTGCTTGCAGATTCCTGACAATGAGTCCGAAAGTCTCATCTTGAGGCAGTAGACGAGCAATGGTCTGACGGGTCTCCTCTCCAAAGGAGTGAGTAGAGGAGATCAGAGCAAAAGAGTCAGGCCTACGAGAGAGGGCGTCAGCTACCTTGTTGTAGCAGCCCTTCTTATGCTTCAGTTCTAAGTCAAACATGTCTATGAACTGAATGTACCGTGCCAACTTATCATTTAACTCTCCCTGGGACTTCATCCACTGTAAGGTGGAGTGATCAGAAAAGATCTTGAAGAACCTGCCCAGGAGAAAGTGTTTCCTGTGTTTCAGGGCACAGACAAGAGCATATAGCTCTTTCTCGTAGGTGGAGTCCAGGAGCTTTTGCGTCTTGATCTTCTTACTCATAAACTCTTCAGGTCGTAGACCATTCCCATCATCCTGCTGAAGAACTGCCCCAATGCCATACTGACTAGCGTTAGTGGTTAGGATAAATGGCAGAGTGGGGTCAGGTAACTTCAGCACAAGCGCACGAGTCAAGGCCTTCTTGAGTCGTGTGAAGGCCAGCTGATACGGAAGGGACCAAAAGAAAGGGAGTAACCTTCTTTGTTAGGTTGGTCAGGGGTGCAGCCACTGCAGAAAATTTCCTAACAAACTTTCTGTAGTACGAGGCTAGACCCATGAAGGACCTAACATCCCTCACTGTCTGTGGCTGAGGCCACTCCTAAATAGCAGCAATCTTGGCTACTTCGGGAGCCAGGCCATCTCCAGAGATTACATGACCCAGATAGATAACAGAGGGAACTCCAAAAGAGGACTTCTCTCTGTTGATCTTGTACTGGCTGTCACGTAACGACTGAAGGACAAGAGCCAAGTGCTCCGCATGTTCCTTGGCAGTCCGGCTGAATACCAGGATGTCATCCAGGTAGACAACCATTAACTTGTCCAGGTAAGGCCTGAAGATGCGGTGCATCTCTGTCTGGAAGGTGCCTGGGGTATTGCAAAGTCTGAATAGCATGACCAGGAACTCATAAGTCTCATACCTGGTCTTGAAGGTTGTCTGTTTTGCAGACATCCTCCTCTGCCATCTCAATCTGGTGGTAGCCAGATTTGAGGTTGACTTTGCTGAACATTGTGCAGCCCTGCACCATGTCCAGGAGGTCGTCGATCCTAGGAAGTGGCTCAGTACTCTTCGTAGTGATCTTGTTGAGACCCCTGTAGTCAATGCACATCCTGAACTCGCCATTCCCTTTGGGCACAAAGAGAACAGGTGCACCGAATTCAGATGTGCTGGGTCTGATCCAACCCTTGTTGGTCAGGGTCTCAAGCTGCTATCTGAGCTCCTCAAGCTCAAAAGGGAACATCATGTAGATGCGGCCCTTGAGAGGGACCGCTCCAGGCAGCAGCTCAATGTGATGCTTGGTTGGCCGGTTGGGTAGTCCAAAGGGCTCCTGCATCAAATCAGCATACTTGTCTACCACCTGCTGAATCTCAGGAGGACAGGAAACAGAGGGAGCATCTGTTTGCTTGACCAAAACAATGAACAAACGCTCATGGCCGTACTGGCGTGAGAGAGCATGAAACTCCCTCGCTCTCAGGCAATAACAAGATGTCTTAGGGTGGTGATCAGCATCAATCATGCATGGCTGATACACACCCTGGCTATTAGGTAGCTCAACCTTTGGGATCTGTCAGTCGATCCTTGGGTTAACTGCCTTCAGCCACTGCATACAGAATACCAAGTCAAAGGGCAGCTCAGGGAAAATGTAGAAGTTCAGATTGTGTCTGACTTCTCCAGCACTATCGAAGGTCACAAGGATACCCTTGACCTTCTCCCTGATGCTGAGTACTGTAGAGTCACCAATCCTCACCAGCAGCGGTTGCTGCAGCTGCTGAACTTTCATGCCCAGATGCAGCTTTTTAACTCCACCGGGAGACATGAAGTTCCTGGTGGCTCCACAGTCCAGTAGCCCAGTGATCCTGGTGCGGTTGATCCGGGGCCGAAGCATGATGAGATCAGACTTGCACTTCTTTTGTTCCTTCAGGTGAAGGAAGAAGGCTGCAAGTGACTGAACCTCATCCTGCCCCGGGTCCTGATCCGGGTCAGGATCCTTATAGCAGAAGGATGCTGCCCGCGCAAGCCCCAAACAAACATCATCACATATAGTCTCAACCGAAACAGCTGCAGATTCACCTACTTCAGTAGATGAAGGTGCAGCACTGGGGGGAACTGCAGTCCCCAGGGTCTGTTTCAATTTTTTGACTGACCAGGGCCTGGCATGTAAGGGCAGTCCTTCAGGACGTGTTGTCCCTCACATCTTAGGCAGACCCCTCTTTCCTTGCGTTTTCTCCAGATTCCCTCCTGGATCTTGAGATCATGCCAGGGGAGAGTGGAGGGATTGAGAGGGTCAGCTGGCATCCGGACTTCTTTCGGCAAGTTAGAGCACAGGGAAGAGGAAGGCCGACCCCTTATCCTTCCCCTTGGCACTGGCTGAGGCTGTGGTGGGGGAGAATCTCTTCTGCTTCTGCAGAACTCCCAAAACAGCCTGAGTCAGGGTTGTTAGGATGGGGCCTGAACATGAAGCTTTGCCTCCATGTCCAGGGCTGCACGGCCAAAGGACCTCCAGTCCTTGTGCCCAGCGCTGTACAATGCAACAGCAAACTTCTCAGGCGCGGCCCTGCAGAAGTTGGTCAGCTAATCGTCACATGACCAACCCAGGGTTGGAGGTCAGCTGCTCGAACTCGGCAAACAAGGCCTGCAGGGTGCCGCTGTATCGCTGCTGTCCCAGGCGAGCAATCCTGTCAGCAGCCTTGCGGGCCCGCTCCTTGTCTGCAAAACGGTCCTCCAGAGCCTGCAGAAGTTTGTCCAACCCAAGCCCAAAAGCCCAGTCCTCCATGAACTGCTGCAGACTGTTGGAGGTTGAGGTGGCCCACTTCAATGCAGGTCCCTCCAGCAGTCTCAGAACAGTCGCCACCTTGGTCTGTTTTGCACAGACAAAGCCCCTCAAGTAGGCTTTGGTCCCAGCAGCCCAGTCCCCGACATCGGTCTTCGGGTCATCACCCCTAAACTTGTTGGGAGCAGGGATCTTGGGACCTCTGTAGTCTCCTGCAGCAACAACAACATAGGTGGCCTTCGCTGAGGCTTTTTGGGAATGGGATGGTGTGCGGGACGAATGCACAAATCCAGGAGGAGATGAAGGAGGTGTAGAAGGAGGTGAGGGTTTGGGTTTCAGCAAAGGGAGCTGAGGGGCAATAAGCTTGGCGGTTGATAGCTGAGCAGTCAAGTTCTGAATCGCATCCAGAATCTTAGACTGCTGATCTGCCAGGTCGTTAACCCGACGCTCCAAACGAACAAAACGATCATCCCAGTTCGTAAAATAGGAACTGGTGATCTTGTGCTCCAGGATGATCGTCTCTCCCAGGTGTTTAGTCACCTGTGCACAGCGGTCATCTGAGAGCACCTTGTCTAGCTGCTGCAACAGATAGTCCCTTCTGGAATTATCTGTTGCAGCCTCTAGCTCAGCTGCCTCCTGCCGTTCCAGTTCTGCAAGACGGTCCTGTTGCCGCCGCAGCTGTTCTTGTAGATCCTTCTTTTCCTGCTAAGTAGCGGTCAGAGGTGGAGAAGGAGGAGTGGAGGTTGAAGGCTCTGTTGGCCTTCCACCTTCATCAAAACTTCCACCTGTGGCTGCTGTTGAGCCCCCAGATCAGACATCTTTCCTTTCAAAATAAAACCAAAAACACATTACAACAACCTGAATATGCAGCGAGTTTCAGATTCCTGCAGACACCTTGAAATCGCTGCAATCTCTCAACACTGGAATAGGTGATCAGCAATTTGGGTTGGAGGGATGTCTCTGGGGTCAGGTGTCAGACAGACTGCAAGTCCAGCAAAATCATGCACATGATTTCCTTTTACTGACCCTGCACCACACTGGAGTTAGTAGAGTCACTCCACTACTCTTCCAGAGACACTAGATTTCCAGATCCCACTAGAAAACACGTGTCATCAGTGAGAATGATGGAAGAGGATTAGTATAGACGAGAGAGGTCAACCCAACCAAGCGATTCAGACAGACACCCTGTATCCTGACTCAGACTCCAGTTTAGACTTTGATGACTCTGACGGCCATACCCTAGGGCATGGCAAAGTACAGTATTCACTGTATCCAGTGAAATACTATAAATCCACCTCTGCGATTCTGTAGTGTTGTCTATTTTCAATTTGCAATTCACTGGGGACTGACACATTTGAATTATGATGGACAGAATTGAAGTTATGACTAACCCTAATTAGCACAGGTTATAAATAGACTCAGCACAAAACTACAATTCACAGTATCACTACCTTTCCAATACAGAATTCACAATTTGAGTATCCCAGAATAATCGCAATGCAGTAAAGCAGTCACAGGACAATTTTGGATCAGAAAGAGTCAACAGAGGGTTAGAAATGAGCAGAGAGAGGTAGGGGAGAGATGGCTATGGTTGTCATGCAGTCTGCGATTTTCACATCCAGTCACTGACAGACAGATAGACCGTTATAATTGACTAATCTAATCCTATCTGGATCGCTATGCAGGTAGGTGCATGGAACGGACTCACTTTCAGAGAATCTTGCAGGTGATGATGAAGATTTGGATATGGCTGATGATAACCCTTATCTCGCCAATTCCTCCAGATATCCCTCCTGACAATCCCACGCACAGAACTGCTTCAAACTTGTTGATCCTCCTCAGGATCCTGCAGTGCTGCACTCCCTCACTCCCTCACTCCAGATACTCTGGATCTGGTCCTGTGGCACCCAGTATGCCAACACCAAAGTATCTCGCCACAGTGCCTGGTAGCCGTTGATGCTAAAAATAGCCCAGATGGGGTTATTTCTCCTGGAGATTGATATACTGTATCAATCTCTACCAGCGCTACCCAGGGATGATGCCGCTCAGGGTTCCCTGATGTCCTCATGGGTAATTTGCCACTCTGGGGTACTTCGCAATACTACCCTCAGGGTTGGCCATGGCGAATCAGCCTTGTACTCGCCACTTCCCAACAAGCGCCCTAACAGGCTCAGTGCGCTTGCTCAGTGCAACCACTTAACACTTGAATCCACCGCTGAAAGTCTTCTTCCCTGCTCACTCAGTACTGGGGAAGATGAATCGCCATGAAACTCTCGCCAGTAGATTGCCAGATGAAGAAGATGCCTCAATGCGCTCAACCCTCAATGTTCCAATTCCAATCCAGGCTCTTATACCAGACAGAGTCCACACTGCACACAGATCAGAGTAGGCAGCCGAATACCGCTATGCACAGATGGGGAGAAGACACAGTGTTTCTCTCTCTCTGACAAACTCCCAACAACCAATCACAAGTAGAACCTGCGAGGATAACAATTGGAATTACACTGATGATGAGCCAACTCAAACAATTATCGTAACAGAGTTTGTTCCAGTATCCCGCCACTCTCAGAACTCACACCCCACTCTCTATCCTACACCCAGTTAGTAGCGCCACATCAGAATGGCCTTCCAGAGGTCAGCGCCAACCACCCTGATGAAGAACAGGTCCTGCGATGAAGTCTTCAATGCCGATGGACAACTCTGACCAAGGAACAGGCAGCTATGGCTGCCACCACCCACGAGTACACAGTGTAGAGCCTCAAAACAGCCCGGCCAGACGCAGATACCCCAGGGGTAGGTGC